ATCGGGCTGTTTGTTCTCTATATTTTGTTTTGCGTAAGATGAAATTTACAAGTTACGTTTTGAAACTTTTTGCGAAAAACTGCTTTAGCGCGCATTGGGAAAACATTGCGCGTAACGACGATTATTGCCGCAAAGATTTAGCATTCTATTCATGAGAGAGTAATAGTGAGCCATTTAGAAAAATGGCCTACTAATTTTGTGTGACATGGCTTCTCTTTCCATCTGTTCTTCTCATGACTAGTATGCGCAAAATTTTATGCAAATTATCTCGAATCTATCGCAGTTGCAACAGCTTGTAAATACATACGATATAAGCGTAACCTTTGTATTTATGACAAATGCATCGCTCCATCGGTGATCCATGGCCACGCACTTTTTCAATTTTCAAACTACAGATCCATCATACGCAATGACATAATGATTGTAGGGGCGAGGATTTTTGCGGGCGACAATTGCCAATAAATGAAAACAGGAAGTGGCTTCTTTCGACTAGCAGTGCAAAAAACAAGCCTTTTCGCCCTTTACGGCGCATTGTAATCCACGTAATCAATGAGGAAAGGCTCGGGAGCTCTTACAATACAAGTCATGCGATGATAAACGGCACCTCCTTATCTCGTACATAAATACCCAATCATCGTGGTGGGTGATGGTCGCGATGACGATGATTGGTCACGGAATCTCTACGAAAGACGAGAAACAGATGGATTTGGAGAGCTACGTTTCTCGGATATAAAAAAAAAACGAAAAAGAAAAAAAAATTGAAAGTTGACAGGCATCGAATCCCCTTATCCATTCCTCCCTCCAACAACTCAAAAATCCCCCTTTCACTACAACACACACGCACCCACGCATCTCTCTCTCTCTCTCTCTCTCTCTCTCTCTCTCTCTCTTTATTCCTATCACCATCATTATTCTACCCGACCCTAGAAAAACAAGCGCGCGCGCGCCCACACTCCTTCAATGGGTAATCGATAATACGTGGAGCAGACGTTTTGTCGGGCGTTCACGCGGCTGTGATCGGGCACATACGGGTCGCGTCACGCTGAGTCATTAAGGGCGTCAGATTCTTAATTTTCCTGCTTGACTCATCGTCGAGACGCGGCGCCGAGGCTGGAAAAGAAATATTGGGATGTATTTTTTCGTGATGATTCGGCGTCGAGAGAGGGAGACGAAAGAGCGGTAGCATTATTATTAATTTTAGACTTGAATGAATGTCGGACGAATCGAGGTCTCAACAAGAATATTAGAAACAAAAGGCGTGTGCGCTCGTAACTGGCCCACTTCCTCGTACCGTCGCTCGTTTCTTGTCGTTAACGCGCGACAAAAATTTGCCGCACTCGGTCCGATTTACCATAGCGGGGTCGGCAGTATTGATAAAAAAGAAACACTAGAGGAACTCTGGTCTACGTGACACTAGATGCATCTTTTCAGCTGTCGTGCCCGTTGCGTACTTGCACTCGTTGCGCTTTTCTTTACTTTCACGTACTTTCTAATTCGGGAAAGTGCGCACGCATGGGAGGATGATTTCGCCATTTAATGCCGTGGGTATTGTATGTCGGTAAAACGCAGTCGCCAATCGTGTCTATTCGGCCCGGCGACGTGAAAACACGTTGGGGAGCGAATTATGCAACGATGCGCGGGAGGTGCGGTGAGTCGTATTTAAAGAATTTCGGACGACGTGACGTAATGGTGATCGATCTATTTGCTTGGCTTCGCTCAACGACGTCTCGTCGTGAGCAACGATAAAGCCCGGAGACGCCTCGTGGCGTCTTGCGCGATAAGCCAGCCGAGCAGGAAATGAGATAGTAGCAAATCGCAGATGAAAAAACAAGTCTCGTCGTTCGATTTCCACGTACGGGATCTGAAATACATTCGTTGACCGAAGCCGAGAACAGGAGGAGGAGGAGGAGGAGGAGGAGGAGGAGGGGGATGGAGAGGGAGAGGGAGAGGGAGGGAGAGAGGGAGGGAGGGGGGAGAAGAAGAAGAAGAAGAAGAAGAATCGTTGACCGGCCTTGAACGCTGTTAAGCCGCCCGAACGTCTCACGCACGTCCATACAGACGCTTTTCATCGTGGAAGTACATGTCGAACGGGAAAGCACCACCCGATGAGATCCTTGTGGCATTTCCTTATGACGCGACAACACCCCTTCCTTAAAACATTGATAAAGTATACGGATTGTGTTAGTCCTTTTTACAGGAACGAGTCGTGTGCGCGTGTTGTAAATAGCTTTTCAGGGTTGGAATAATGTCTATTCTCGCTGCCTTTTGCGTAATTCACGAGGAAATTTAAAACGTCTGGCGCGTTGATTTCCGGATTCGAGCGACGCTTTTATCTCGAGCTCCCAGAGGCTATTTCGATGTTCATCTTTTTTCATTCTGTGCTTTATGCACGGTGATTCGAGTGAAATCGCTTGTGCGATATTTATTTGTGACTCCCGATATTTCCACATAGTCGAGATGCTTGGTTCTTTTTATTTTCGTCTTGGAGGTAATCGCAATTTTGAAATACATGTCAAACGGACTATTTTCAAAAATGCTCGCAAGGTCAATAAACGCCAATCGATATTACTTTGTCATCCACCGTCATTAATTTATTATTAATTATTAATCGTTTAATTTAATGCTTTAAGCTTGCCTTACGCGCCAAGTGTCTTTCATTATCGTAATAATTTCGTACTATTCGTATTGGTGGGTGCTCTTGCATTCGCTATAAACAATTGAAGTTGTGTTATGTATGGCAGGCGTGGTGCGGCCGTGTCTATGTCTGTGTTGGGGTTGGGGCGAGAGCACGAGGAGGAGAGGCGTGAAAACTAAATAAACTAAGCCAGTCACTTTTTGATATTATTATACTATTAATAACAAACGTTGCTGAAAACTTAAGGTAGTTATGTGAATAAGTTTAAAATGCCATTTTATCGATATGCGCAACTATTACGTACTTTGGTCTCTCGCTCGTTCTCTTTCTATTTTTCACGCGTACAATATTATGTGCTTTCGTAATGAAATGAAACGTTGCTAACTTGTCGATAATATATCGTAACGGAAAAAGGAGAGAATATGTCGTTGGTTATTTATCTCGTTGTCTATGCGCACATAAAAGTACTAAAATTTTAATTGTTGGGCAAGTGTGTATGTGTAGACGATTGCACAAAATTTTGTGCTTGTGAGTTGAATTTATAGCGCGTTATATATAGAAAATGGCGAGTGTGCGTGAACTTACGTAAACGCAAAATTGACGAACCGATATATGAGCAACGAGCCACGAGAATTATCGATCATCGATCATCGATCATCGATCATCGATCATCGATCCTCGATCGACACGAACGAAGAAACGTGATTTAAGAATACGGGAGGGGCATAAAAGGGACAATTCAAAAGGCATAAATAACGTATGCATGATACGTGTATACGGTTGCCAATACTATTAAGCACTCTCGTTTAGCTATCTATGCATCATTTACACTACTCGTGATTGGGCATTAATGAGAAAGGTTCATCGGTAAAGCATCGTGTGCTGAGTTTGTGTGCGTTTCATACAACTACAAGCTTTCTCAAATTGGACTTCAAAAACGTTAATAATAGCCGCTCGTTACGCTCGATCTTGGCGCCGAACTCGTAAAGTCGTGAGCAATAATTTTGTAATCTGGAGTATCGTTAAAAAGCGGAAGAAAAGGCTGTTTTTAAAAACGAAAAGGAACAGTGGAAGAAAGGTGAGCAGCAGCAAATTAATACTTGCGGCCTAGGAAGGCGGTCAACGAAGTCGTAAAGATGCAACAACGCGTATGCGACGGCGGGCGAGTCCCTTCGTTAAATTAACCGAAAACAGGTGCACTTAACCCCAAGGTTCGCGAAACCGTGCCATTCGCAGCAATAATAACGGCTCGCTGAACAATGCGACTGCCCGGTTCTTGCAAATATCAGCACAATAATGTACGTATAGTTTGCGCACACTAGCGCATGTGCATGCCTCGCGAAGTAATCGATCGGGAATCGGCGAAAGAGAGATAGAGAGAGAGAGAGAGAGAGATAGAGAGAGAGAGAGAGGGTCGATTTTGCAAGTGCGCGCGCCGGCGTCGCCCTACCTTTATTAAATTAGAGTAAAGGCGGCCGGCGCGCGCACTTGCTGTTGCGCAATCATCATCATCATCTGTCTCTCTCCCTCCCTCCTTCCATCTCCCTCTCTCTCTCTCTCTCCCTCTCTCCCTCTCTCTCTCTCTCTCTCTCTCTTTGCGAAACCGTTGCGACACACGCGAGCTCATCGACAAGAGGCTGAATTTCAAAATCAAGAGACCCACGGGATGCCGATTGGTCGCTATCCTCGAGAACGTTTCGACGCTGCCCCTTACCAGTCTGCCTACGTATCCTTTGAAATTTCGTACAGCTTCGTGAAATAATTGCGAATAATTGGGTGCTCGTTATGATGTTTATGGCTCGTAATGGGCTCGCCAGGGTATAATAAATTTCTAATTTATGTTGGCTCGGTGCGTGTCTGTCCCCTTCGTCGTGCTCGAGTATATTAAATTTAATGATGGAACGGGTCTTTCCGATCGACTTTCGATATAAAATGCCACCTTACTGGATAGCCTACCAATTAAATGTGGAGGACAAAAAACCTCGCGACGTTTGGCAATCTTTATCGATCGGCGAAACAAACGAAAGTAGAGTCGGCGGCGCCTTACGCGCGAGTTTCCGCGATCATTGCATTTTGGCAATTGTTGATGATACACAATGGTGGTGGTGGTGGTGATGGAGTAAGTTTTACGATCAATAGTCTCGCGATGGTGTCAAACAAATGTTTAACATGTCCTCGTCGATAAACCTCTCTCTCTCTCTCTCTCTCTTTCTCTCTCACTCTTACTCACTCTCACCTCAGTTTCCAAAGTCGAGGGCGCGATTTTATGTTGCCATGTAACGTCCACCCAATATCCAGAGCAATGCATCTATCAGGCTCTTTTAGGCACAAGCATTGTTCACGATACCATTGCTTGTACTTCCAGGAGCTGACGATGGGTGACAAGGGCGCGGAGGCTCTGCTGCAAGCGCACCTGCGCCTCGAAGGTACCGGCGCGGCGAGCGCCGTAGCCGGTGTCGTTGACGCTGGCCGGAAGCGCTATCTCCTTCTCGAGGGACACCACGGGGACCTCCACGCTTACGTGAGGGCACGAAGGAGGCTGCGCGAGCCCGAGGCCAGACGGCTGTTCCGACAGGCGGCGAGGGCCGTTGCTACCTGCCACGAGAACGGTGTTGTCCTCAGGGACCTCAAGCTCAGGAAGTTCGTCTTTGCCGACGAGGCGAGGTAAGTCGAGATCCTAATCGATCTTTCCTTTATTCTTAATTGCACGACACGCATCCCCGAGAGTCACGTTTATCTTGTGGCTCGGAGCACGGAGCCAAGTATGATTGCCTTATCCGATTAAGGGTAACCTCGATTATTTGAAAAATGGTTGGCTGGCTGGCTGGCTGGCTGGCTGGCTGGCTGGCTGGCTGGACCTTGTTGCTAATGTAATAATTGAGCCTCGGAGAAAAGTGCGTTGTTCGGCGATTGTTGTAGGGTTGTTAGCGAAGAATTTCGGCTAGAGTTGGCGAATGGCCGGCGAGAGGAGAGCTTATGGATCGCGCGACTTCTTCACCTCCGCACTCGACTAAGTAAACGCTCGTCGGTGAGAGCAAGCGCTCATTGTATTATCATTAATCTCGCTTTCGTGTCCCATCGCACCCATGTGACCCCAGAAGCACCACCATAAAATTAGCCGTAATGTCAGAGGAGTTTTTGTCGCACGCCAACTCGAACGGTGTATTGGTGGGACAGTGTTAGGCTACCGGCAACGGAAGTAACGTAATGTCGATGGGAGCCAGTCACCATTAGTCATTCGTCACTTTGATTCTTCGCCTTCGCAAAACCGTCAATTTCCATGACAATGGGCGAGGGTAAAATATCTGAAAGGATCCATTACGGCTAGACAATTTGTCTTATTAAGCTATAGAATGGGAACTAATGCAATTGCAAGATGATGATTCGACGCGTCCTTGGATCCGCTAACAACGAGTTTAACGGACAATTGGAAATATGTCAAGATGACATTGTTCTATGGCAAGAGAGAGAGAGAGAGAGAGAGAGAGAGAGAGAGAGAGAGAGAGAAAGCTCGTTACCCGCTCTCCGAAAGATTTGCGTAGCGTCGTAGCCGTGACTTTGTCGACGGATTCGCTCGGCTGGTGTACGAGGAGGGGGCCTTGCTATGCGGCCCACATCGTAAAATACCTTCTGAGAAAAAAGGTCGGCTTAATAAAGACAGAGACCGAGGAAGCCAGAGGAGACGATCCATTATGGAACATCCGCCCTCTCGAGACCGAATTGGATTGCACACCGTGACTCTGTATAAAAAATTCAAACGGCTCGTTACATTTACATAAATTGCAATGACGCGCGCTTTGCCTTTCTTTTTATCTTTCTTCTTCCTTTTCATTGTCTTTGTCTTTTTCTATTTTTGTTTTTGTTTTTTTTTTTTTTCACTACTCCGCGGTTTCCTCGTTCGATCTCCTAATTGCAAAATTTGCATTTCATTCGGCTCAAAATTCGCATAAAATTCTTAAAACAGTCGATATTATCGATCGATCGCCGTTTAAACGCACACATTCTTCTTTATGCTGCAATTTCGCTGGCTAGACAAAGAATTTGTAAAAACTAATCGGCAACATCGAATATCGGCTATTATTATCACACATGGCATTGTCAATGTATTTTGCAAGTATAGCATCGGAAATAAGGGCGAATAAATACATTAAAAGTCAAAGGTTAAAATTGGAAAACCAATGGGAGGGACACGTACGACGACGTGAAGTCGAGGCTTCTATGAAAATATTAACAACAATAACGAAGAAGAGTTAGGTCCCGATAACAAACGCAAATTCTCGATCATTAATCATTAGTCTCGCAAGTTCGTATAAAGCCTATATACATATATGCAAACACTAATCTTACATTTCTTTTCACATACCATTTTCATGAGCGAGCGCGCGCTATATTATACTTTTTGCAACAACTTATTAAAAAATCATCCTGCTGGAATTTGCCATGTCCACGGAACTTTAATTAGGAGCCCAGGGATCACGTAACGTATTGGAAAGAGATCCCAGTGAGTCGGTGTTGCTTGTAAGCGCGGGCAATGTATCATTAAGCGCGAACAATTCTTGGGAAAGTCTTCATTTCTCCGTTTTTAATTTCTAGAAGGAATGCGCGTCTAGCTAGCTTGTACCGGGAAAATTGAACAATCGCACGTAGAGCCAAGTGGCCTAATCGCATCGCCTAATCGCATCGCCCATCGACAAACGATGAGTGAACGAGCGTTCGTGTGGTCGCTCGCACCCGCGCACACGCCTAGGAAAATCCACTCTGCCGGATACGAGCGTGTCGAGTGATCGAAAGGGAGAAAAAAAAGAGTGACCACGTGTGGTGTGAGTTATGTCGTGAGCTCGGGTCGAGCCCATTTGATTGGCCAAGAACTCGTCGCATTCCTCGGCAGGTTATATACACGTGTGAAAAAGACACGGGCAGGAGAAAGGGCGAGCCACGGTAAAATAATAATGATATCGACGACGTTGCACCGGGACAGTAATAATGGTATGACACCAGGTAGCGGTAATAATGTCGAGCGAGCGATCGTCGCATCTGTTCCGGCTTGTTGTTAGGCTCTCGTGTACATGTGTGCGTTTGCGCGTGTTTGTGTGTGTGAGCGCGCCGCGATTGAGCACACACTACTTCCGTTATCCCTTTGTAAGACTCACTGGTATTTGCAGAGATATTTTGCGCATTGAGAGACGCGATGTAGCGAGTTGGGCAGGGTTGTCATTTAAATAGTTGTATTTATATATATATATATATATATATATTTTTTTTATTTATTCTTTTTTTTTTTTATGTTAAAAATAATCTTGTTAACGGCTATTTGTGATTCCGTCCTTCTCGTGAAACTCATCGCACGAAAATTCGAATCAATTACCACGTGAATTTATTAATTGGATAGAGCTATTATTTATTCGCTCGTATGCCTTATTACTTATCGCTTCATCTCGATTTATCAATAGGCGAGGGCATGCATAAGCGTGTGCCCACACATACACATATAAAGGGGCTCGTTTACGTATACGTAAGAGGCTTGCGAGCGAGCAGTAATAAGGACTTCGAAAAAGAACGTTAAATTACAAAAGCCTCGGTATCGAAACTCTTACAAAATTGCTCGGTCGTTCTTCATACGACTTTCTCCACGCTTACACCTTGTTAAAACAATCGCGAAGCTCGCTGAAATGCCTTAATCCTATGGGATTCTTAGCCGTCTGTAGATTGGGATATTATAAAGCGTTACGAGGGATATGTATTAAAGAACGCGGCGACGAGATACCAAGAGGGATGTTGTAAACTGTGCTCTTACATAGAAAAGTATATTGGTTCATCGACTCGTTGGGCGGGGCGGGGTGCGAGACGGTGGAGAGAGGGGACGGAGACTTTTGAAACACAACCTCTCTCTCGTATAATTAGGAATGAATGGCCGGCGGCAATGTCTCTCTTTCTCTGTCTTCGCCCTCTCAACGCGACGCCTTTCGCCACACGACCGCTTATGTTTATTCCGTCGATACGCTTGCAATGTCATACGTATAAGTCTGCGCTCGCGCGCGTATGTGTGTGTTTGCGCGCGCGTTTGAGAAATCGCGCGAAACGTTAGGTTGACTGACGCGACGCATGCGGCGGCGAAAAGTATCGTGCGAGCGTTTTGAAAATGTTTGGCCACGCTGTGGTGGGATGAGGTGGCGGGATGAGGGGGGGGGGGGCGGGGGGATTAGCTGGAAAATTTGCATTGACATTTTTTCCTCAATGAACTCCCTGCGATAGATTAATTTATGAGGGGCAGAAGATAAAAAGAAAAATTGGTACTGTGAATTCGACAATGACGCTTAGTTCGCGGGGTCTCGGTCAAATATTTACCTGCGTTGAGTAAACGGAGTGTGTTTCTTAACACTTAACGGATGTATAAGTATTATTTTAATAATATTTTTATTTTATTTTTTTTTTTTTTTTTCGAGTGCTAATAAATACATCGAGCTCATTATGAATGCACCGTGTTTTCTCTCGCGCTGTATAATGGGGTAGGGAAAATCTTTCAGAGGGAATTTCAATTATGCCTTAGTCGAGTAAATAGAATAGAAAGTCAGTCGATCTTAAAGATATGCACTTTTAAATATCCCTGGCAATTTTTATATTAATAGAGAGAATACGATTGAATTCATGGAAGGTGTGCTTAATTGCCGATCGAACAATTCTAATAAACGATTTAATCCAAGTAGCTCCCAACTGTTATCCAGCGCAATATAATTTCGACGTACAAATTGCCGCTTATCGTCTATCCTTTTCAATTTCAAGGTTAAACAATGATAAACGAATAAAGTTCATCGAACAGGCAGCAGCATTTGTCATTCTCTGAATATTTCTGATTTCGTATCAATGTAAATATTATCAGTCACTTTATCTCGCAATTTACGTACTCCTAATCGATATAACCGTAAAAATTAATTTATATAATTTTTATTGAAAAAGCAAAAAAAAAAAAAAAAATAAGATAAAAGTAAAGAAGAAAAATTTATGTTAATTGTTTATGTTGTGGTCGGAAGTCTCTATTTATTATTCTCGCATTTCTTAATTTAATGGGCATATAAACCGAAAAACGCCCTCCTCAACTATTTTATGCAGATTTGTCATATGCATTGCGACACAATCATCCGCATATGTCATAATGGTCATTACAAAGATCAAAATCTCTGTGTTTGTAAATCGTGACATGACGGAGCTTCATTCGCTCGTGCAGAGCATCGCTTTTACCAAGCTCGACAATCAAGGAAGACGAGAGCGCGATGATATACATACGCGCAGCTCATTATTGCTTATAGTCCGTAATTATATTCCTTGGTTTTAAAAGCAAAGGAAAGAGAGAGAGAGAGAGAGAGAGAGAGAGAGAGAGAGAGAAAATCCAACGTTCGTGTACTCTAAAAATACGTCAAGATCCGTTGTGCGTGTCATGACGAATGACAAGGAGAAGAGGACGGAGAGAAAGTAATCATAGGTGAAACGGCCTTACCGTTGCTTAGTAGTTGCGAGCGAGACGGACGACAAACCCATAGAATTAGCCAAAGAGGGAGAAAGAGCGAAATTATTGGAATGAACGAGCCTGGCGTGCGTGTGCGCTCGTTGACGCCCAGTGTTCAGGAAGTAAACAGTTTGTGCGAGTTGACGCAACTTCTGAGCTAACT